GGGCAGGGGAGGGGGGTGAGGGGATGTGGGGATAACGATTTGGAAGGACAGTGACCTGCCAGATCATCCCAAATGGCTCTTTGCTGTTGCTGTTTGCAGGTGGATTCGGCCCAGGACAGAGTGGTAAAGAGGGAAGATGGAGAAAAATTAGCCAAGGTACATGAGAGCTGCTGCAGGGGTCGTGCTCTGGCGGGGGGGTGAGTGCACATGCAGATGTGCACCATGAAATGGTTAACTGGGGGCCAGCCTGACCCAAAACACCTCTGGGAGTGCTTTGCTTCACTTCCCTCGTGCTCTCCTCTTCCTCCTCATCTGCTCTTCTTCCTCGAAGCTTGCACTGATGTTTTTAGCTTCTTTGTCCTCTAAAACCATTTTGATGCAGAGATGCCCGAGTTGTGAATCCTTGCCCAGCTTTTCCTGCCTGCTGCGTATAGCTCCTGTCCCAGGGCAGGGCACCGGCTCCTGCGGCAGGAACCGCTGTTGGCCGGGCTCGGGGCGAGCTGGAAACCCTCAGGAACGTCCCAGGTGATGTTTCTGACCCCACTGTGTCTTGTCCCGCAGGAATACGGAGTGCCCTTTATGGAGACCAGTGCAAAAAGTGGCCTCAATGTGGAGTTAGCATTCACAGCCATCGCAAAGTAAGTGACCGGTGTGGTGGCCGTGCTGGGCACTGCTGCAGGCTGGCACTGTGCAGGAGCTGGAACTGCAGGAGCTTTAAGACCCCTTCAACCCAAACCATTCCATGATTCCATGATCTAGACCGAGTCTGGTCCAGCTGATCCGGGCCAGGCAGTTCAGAAACTAACGTGGTTCCCCCCTTCCCGCAGGGAACTGAAGCACAGATCCATGAAGCTGCCCAATGAGCCCAAATTCAAGCTCCACGACTACGTGAAGAAGGAAGTGCGAGGCTCGGGCTGCTGCAGGTCCTAATGCGCCCGGCGCATGTGTACAGAGACTGCTCCAAGTGTTCGTGCGCCGCGCTCTCCCTGTGGCCAGTGTGTGCATGTCTGTGTGTCCCGTCCGTACCCGCCCGGGAGCTGCGCTGCGCTGAGGCACGGGCAGCGGGAGCAGCCGCAGGGAAAGCTCTCTGGGATGATGAGCCGTGCGCCAGGCGCTGCTTCCCCGGCCCCCATCGCATCCGTCGTGCTCCTTGTCCCGGTGCGGATGGGACGGGGGTGCTTGGGAAGGGACTGGGATGGGCAAACCCGCTCGTCTCCATCCCCTCAGCGGCAGCGAGGAGCTGCTTTGACATTAGTGAAATCATGGTGTGAACAAGGGGAATGAGCAGCTGCTCCCCACCGACATCCAGGTAGGAAAAGGTCCTGAATTCCCTTTTCTTTCCCCGTGTACCTGGAATTCTGCTGTTCGGAGCCTGGCCTGGGGCACGCAGGGAAGACTCGTTCTGGAGGCAACTGTTTTTGTAGTTGCTTACATCCCTCTGTCCATCTTTCATGTGGTGTTAACACATGATGGAGGCTTCTCCTCTGCCCTGCAGAAGAGCTTCACTGTCTGAGTAAGCTCTGAGTAAGTTCCTGCTCCCCTGTATGTTGCACAGAGATCTCCTGGGTGTCCCTCTGTTGGGTGAAGGCTTTGGTTCTCTCATTCTGCCGTTTCTAGTACTTTAAATTGAGAAGAAATCTAATGTATTGCAGCTTGTTCTAAATCATGTGAGTGTGATAGCGTTTTTAGACTGCAACAACGCTTTGATATCTTCAAAGTTCTCTTGGGACAGCTCTTTCTTTCAACGAGGCAAGCTGGGGGCAGAGCTGCAGGCCTGGGTTTTACAGGCTTCAGGCTCTCCCGCCAGCTCCCTTCAACGGGCTCCTCACCCCTTGGGTCTGTGTCAGGCATTTGGCTTTTTTTACTTATAAAAAGCTGCATTTCCAAGTCCAATTTGGAATTGAGATGAAGAGTTTGGCCTTTGGCACTTCTCCTCTTTGCAAATTGCATTTCCCTGCACTGCCCGTGTGAGATAACACAACCCATCCTACCCCAACACAGCTCCAGCCACTTGCTGCTTGGGTGACCTTCATCAACCCGTTCTGCATGAAGCTGCTGATCTATTGTGTCCCTGCCCATGGCAGGGGGTTGGAACTGGATGAGCCTTAAGGTCCCTTCCAACCCAAACCATTCCATGGTTCATCTTACAGCCACCTCCATTCTCATCCTGTCTCAGACACCCCTGTCCCCAGTGCCCCTTGTTGCACAGACACAAAGCTACAGGGAGCCTATAAGCAGTGGTATTCATCATGCTCCCATCGGGCTGCTGCTTTCCCTCTTCCTCGCAGGGCAGGAGAGCCTTGCATCTATCTTGCTGTCTTGAAGGACGAGCTCACAGCTCTTAACTTCTTCAATGTGGGACCAAACCCAGTTTAAAAACTCATTTAAACAAGGGAGATGTAAATTCTACCCTTCGGAGTACTTTAACTAAGCCAGTTGGGAGCTAACTGCTAGAGCAGACACATCACAACTGCGCTTGAGGTGTTAGACCTGACCCCTAAGGCAGAGCCAGCCCCCCAGCCGCGGGTTCCCGCTGTAGGACTGGTCTCCCATGGGCTGGGGCTTGACTTTCCACGGGCCATTACTGCCACCAAGCGATGAGGAATCCAGGGCCGGGTGCGCTCCCCCAGCAGAGCCCTCGGCCGCACACACAACTCCGCGTTCTGCTGCCTCTTGGTTACAGCTTCGGTTTCATTCCTGTTAATAAAGTTTTTTAATAACCCCTCTGGCTACAAAGGTATTTGACTGTCCAACGGACACACCTGCACCAGTGAACCACACGTAGCACTGCTCATTCCTGAGCCCACCTCGAGCATTCTGTTACCAGCACGGGCTCAGGTGCCCTCTGCATCCAACAGGAATTGTCTTATCTGGCTACTGCCATTCAAAAGGTTTCTAAAAGGAGGGATAAGGGGAATCTCCATCCTACACTGGATGTGGGGGAACAGTGACTGAGCTGAGTCAGATCTGCCTGACATGTCTGTGACTAACCTGATCTCCTTCTACAAGGTGATGTGCTCAGGGGATGAGGACAGGCAACGGATGGTGTTGACGTGGACTCGAGTTAAAGCCTTTGTTTCCCACAGCATTCTCCTGGAGAAACTGGCTGCTCCTGCCCTGGATGAGCATATTCTTTGCTGGGTAAAACACTGGCTGGCTGAGCCCAACGAGTGGTGAGAAGGGAGTTAAACCCCATCGAGGGCTAGACACAAGCGGTGTTCCCCAGGGCATGGTGTTGGGGACAGTTGTTTCATACCTGTTATTAATGATCTGGATGAGGGCACTGAGTGCACTGCAACACACTGAGGTGCTGGAGCAGGGCCTGGAGCACAAGTGTGATGGGGAAGGGCTGAGGGACCTGGGGGGTTTAGCGTGGAGAAGAGAGGGCTCAGGGGGAACCTGATCGCTCTCTGCAACTGCCTGACAGGAGGATGGAGCCAGGAGGGGGCTGGTCTCTGCTCCCAAGGAACAAGGGGTGGGACAAGAAGAAACGGCCTCAAGCTGCCCCAGGGCAGGTTTAGCTGGAGCTGAGGAACAATTCCTTGCCCAGAGGGTGCTCAGGCATTGGAACAGGCTGCCCAGGGCAGGGCTTGGAGCGAACGGGAGGCCTCAGTGCCAGGGGTTAGTGGTGGCCTTGGCACTGCTGGGAATGCCTGGACTTGATGAACTTAAAGGTCTTTTCCAACGTGAACAACTCTGTGATTCTAATTAAAGGGGTCTGGTCCAAGTTAAGCTGCAGCACATGTTTCCTGGTTCCCCTGAAGGTGATAAGAGAGCAGAGATGATCCACTGGGTGCCCAGGTACAGAGCTGAAAGTCAGTCTGTGTTCTTACACACCACCAGGGACGTGTGAATAACAGAAGCAAGAGCAAAACAAGTCTTTTCAAAACTTTATTATACTGCTGAGCTCTAAAGTTGGCCTCATGGAGCAGCAAACAACTACGAGGCTGGAGCCGACTTCAGGCTGGGTAAAGAACATCAACTGAGCAACTTGTTTATACACCAAAACGCTACTTACAGCACCACGGGCGCTTTCTATACA